CAATATTATCTGATCTTTAATGCTAATATAAGTTATAATGTAAAAAAATGCTCCAAAGTTTAACTAGTACTGTTTTCCTCATATTCTGCCTGTGATGTCATCACACGCTGCTATCGCTACCTATAGTATGGGCTGTCTGGCCATGTGTACAGCATATATGTAAGCCCTAGTAGGAATACCATCAAGGGGTTGCGGCAAGACAAGGCGCGAAATTAGCACTGGCCCACTGGCATATATTCCGGCAAATTATTTGGAGGGCCAGTAACATTGGCAAAACACAGGCTCTCCGAGCCGGTGGTTTCAGCCGTGTTAGCGAGTACCTACATTTTTATTTATAGCATTAATGAGCAAATAGCCTACAATACTGTTTTACCTGAAGAATATTACGCTATAATTTATCAATATTTTACAAATTTGAAATCGAGAATGCAAGCGTGAAACATGACATTGACAATAGCACTATGGACATCATTCACGATCTGCATTATAGTCTGTTTAACAGCTACTATGTGATTCTGCACACTACAACGTTTTTCGGACAGGCAAGAGTCAGTGAAACAGTCTTATCTATATTTTTGAAAAAAGAAAAAACAAAATTTGTGGTTGCTGGTAAACAACTGCTGTTACCAGTCCTCTGGGCCAGTGCAAAAAATCTGAATTTCATGTCCTGCAAGATAATTACTAAATTAGTTGTGTGAATATTTTTGAATAGACCTGAAACTCAGTAGGATTAGCAGTATAACAAGAACTAAAGTTATAACATAGATGTACAAGAACTGAGATTGTCACATTTTGTATATTTATCCTTGGTGTCTAGCCACACATTTTATTTATGAACATGTAATATATGCAGTTTATAATTATCTGGACCGAATTTTGTACTGTCGTGTCATGGTGAAAAGAAGTGTTTAAACTGTTCTTCAGTTCAAGGTGTAAGTTGGCTATCATGTATTGCACAATTGCAGTAATTTTAATGCAGCAAATAACATTTACTTGTATACTTGCACTTTTTTGATCTATGTTGAATCTGTTTGTACATGTTGTAGGATGCCACTGGTTGTGAATGGCTTCGAACTGAGAGATCCTCTGCCTGATGCTCACACATTCCTTAACACTTACCAGTCTGTCAGGGTAAGCAATGTTAATAAAACGCCCGTGGCTACTCGTCCAGTTACCGGACGTCCAGCTCCCAGGCTACGCGTCCGGTCATATATTTCTTATGTGAACCAAAGTATATTTTTTCAGTAAAAAACAATAAATAAGAAGTTTTTACCATAATATTACTTACCTTTAGGTATTTTATCAAAAAAATTAGTTTTTCGTAACTTTTGAAGCAATAGTAAATCCAGTAAAATCAACGATTTGAAAGGGGGCGCCTAATCGTGACGTAGATTTGGGAATCTGTGCTGAGCTTTGTAATTGATGACCGGACGCGTAGCCACTGCGTAATAAAACATGTGCACGCGGTGCATGCTTAACTATCATTAGAATAAAATTATGAAATCTGTCAGCATCTGTGGCAAAATACTACTAGAGTGACACCTCCGTTCAACGCTTTAATGAATTTTGGATTGAACAGACAAAATCCGCTACTTCATGGCATAGACGTGGCATCCATCCATGGCATGAACAGCGATTGGAAATTGATGTTTCAACGATATATAATTTAGTTATCTGTTTTATTTCTAATGTACAATGTTACACTATGTTTACGACTGCGCTTATATAATTCCTGTGATATTCTGGTGGTGTTTTGTTACAGGATGAAGCGCTCATGCTGTGCACACAGCCAGTGAAGATTGTAGGTCCTATTGGACTTCTGTATGTAAACCAAAGGGAATGGGCAGCAACCACGCCACACGACAGTATGTTATTTCATATTCTAACATGCTACATGTGCAGACATTGATGTTTCTTATCTATTTCTATATTGCATAGTCACGTTTCACTGATGGACTTATGTGCTGCTATGCTGATTCTGTATGTCAATGGTGCCGTGTAATTTCAGAGAAAGTTACGATACTTGGAACAGACGATGCAACGACATGTCAGATACTTATACTTCGTGACACAGGTTCGTAACATATATATATTGCTGTGCATAAACCATGTGCAAGTGACCCTGTTACATATGTATGGCATGAAATTCCTTTAAAGTCAGCAATTTGAAATCATTCTGGTTAATGAACTAATAGGAAATGAAATGAAAAATTATCCGATGTAGTTTTGCAGTGGTAGTATTTAGAGTAATAAATTTCAGTTATTTGTAATTTTTACCACCCTGTACTACACGTGAGTACATTCATGGCTATGTACGTATGTTCCTCAGCATCCGGTGCAGTGTGCATGGCCCACATCGATGGCTGCGGAGTAGAGGAAGCAGTGTTTAACATCTGTTGCAGAATACAGGAACTGTCATCAAGTCAGATGGATGTCAGGTCAGCAAAGCTTGTATTGTATTGTATTGCATTGCATTGAATTTTATTGTATTGTATTTTATTGTATTGTATTGTGTTGTGTTGCATTGAATTTTATTGTATTGTAAAGTGCTCTTTATTGTATCGTGAGCTATTTGTTTCTGTGGATTGTATGATCCGGATTGCATGTCTCCTGTGGTCTTGAGTGTTTGTTTTGGTGGATGACTGATCCAGATCATGAATTGTTGACCCTGTTGTTGTATGTTGTGTTGTATATTTATTCATTCTTTGTTTAATTAGTGCTGCAATTTTGATCAATCTTTGCTCATAATGTTGGATCCACTTCATGGCTGTTGTTTGGTATATTTTCAATGTGTATTAGGTGTCATATCAGTCTCTATGTGTTGCATTATGAAAGTGTAGCTGATGATTTGTTATGATTGTGGTTAAGGTACGAACTGCACATTGTTGGAGGATTTTGTGATGCAGGAGGCTACTCAGAACAGCTCATTATGTCGTTATTAAGTAAGTATGACTCTTGGCAAGTGTGCATTCACAATAATTACAATCACGCATATTTTATGTCAGTCTTTGGACGAGATTTAACAAAGGTGTGCAATTAAATTAGATGCATGGACCATATGTATGTAAAATATGAATGATGTATGTATGCCGATTTATATTATATTTTTCTAGATGCCTTTCAGAAGCAGCACATACATGTTCACTTGGTAACCCTTTGTGTATGTGGTACGTCTTATCCTAATTATAACAGCTTCTTAAGACATGACCTCTTGATACCACACAAAATTGATTGTTTCTATACCGTTTTAAGAATACGTTCAATGTCATTATTAGTAGTAATGCATAATAATACATACATTGAGTATATTATGTTGTCAGTACTTAAAAAGAGTATTTCCTAGGTCACATTGTAGACTAGACTAGACTATTTGTGAATTTTAAAGTAGTGCAGGCACGATATATATATATATATATATCCTAGGTCACATTGTAGACTATTGTAGACTAGACTATTTGTGAATTTTAAAGTAGTGCAGGCACGATATATATATATATATCAAGAGTGCATAATAGAGATGTATTATGTACTCTATTATGTACTCTTGATATATATATATATATATATATATATTCATTTATTTATTTATAAATTATATATTTATTTATGTTGCAGAATTGAATGATATCCTCAGAGGAAATATACATTGGCCTATAATATATGGCATAGGTAAGTCTGCAGGCGTTTTTCTGTTGTAAATGAATCATAAACCTGATTTATCTATATGTGAAGAAACTTAATTGTGACTCCGTACAATTAACGAAGGTGTACGAAATGCTGCAAAAATCGTGATTTGCTCTTTCATCTTTGTAGGAATAAATGTTAAAACGGGCGAGATCTTTCCTGCATCCTTTCCAGACCGGGGTCCTGATATTGCTCTACGCTCTGCGCGTCTGTTTGCAGGGACTCATCAGGTGTGTGGTGGGTTTATTCCCGGTTGGAAGAAAACATAGGTACAAATAATGAGAACACAACTGGACAAAAATCGTTCTGAGAGTAGACGGTATGGGAGTAGGCGAAATGTGAATATTGCCAATTCTCAGAGTAGACGAAATGGGACGTAGGCGAAATGGGTGTAGGCGAAATGGGAGTAGGCGAAATGGGAGTAGGCGAAATGGGAGTAGACGAAATGGGACGTAGGCGAAATGGGTGTAGGCGAAATGGGAGTAGGCGAAATGGGAGTAGGCCAACTGGGATGTTACCATGTGGTGTAGCAGTAGGAGGAGGTTATAATATGTACATAGTAAGCACAGTTGGGGGTCAGATTGTGTTGAAGCTCAGTGCATTGTGTACATGTGGGTAAATGGTAGTAGAGTTTGTCGTTGTGGGTGAGGCTCAGTGGGTGAGGTAGGGAGGGAAGTGATAGTGATGGTATGTGAGGGTAAGTGGGATGGATGGTGATGGTGAGGATTAGTTGGTGATGCAAATGTAGGTGGTGGTAAGTACAGTTGTATAAGTGGTGTTGCTGGTGAAACATTAGGACCTTGGTAGAAAATAGAATTAGCGTTTATTTGCCAGTTTTATTAGTTAAATGGCGGTGCGAGTCTGTGACAGGGACTGAGTGAGTGAAAAGGGTGTCGCGTGCATCAACAATATATATATTGTCATATTGAGACATTGTAATCCGCAAACTATAGAAGTAAACTACAAATATTTTTAAGAAATCGAATTCATGTCATGTTTAATGACGTTACTGCCACTTCAATATTATCGTCTACTCTCTAGTATGTATGAAATTGATCAATTTTATGGAGTAACTTACTAAAATGCCTATGCCACAGGAACGCGTTGGACGAAGAGAATTTTTTTACATGTGGCGCCCTCTGGAGGGGAACAATTTCATTCCATCGATTCATTAATGCTTATTCCACCGCGATCGCGCATGACCGGAAGTAAACTACTATTTTGCAAGTTAAAAACAAACTTTGAATTTTCATCGAAAACAATACGTTTTACCATTGACAGAAGAGTTAGTAAATGGTCATGTATATTGATCACTAAACGGCCACAAGGTAAGAATATGTACACATGGTGATGGTAATTTGTTATATGTGTACGGTGTCAGTGAAAATGAAAGACGACCACCGGCGTTTGCCCGTGCTGTGCACTGCCACAGGCACAGCCGCACAGGCCTGAGAATCGGTGCCTTGTGAAATACAAGAGAGGTACCCCAAGATACAAGATACAAGATACAGGCCACAGGCTCAGCTCACGAGTCACAGCCACAGGCACAGGCACCTGAAGCGTTTCAATAAAATATAATGCTAAATAAATACGAAATCTATTTACTACCAAACTCCAAAGTCTTAATGTTTCCATACTGAGACTCTCCTTGACCTATTATTGCCGACAATTTCCTGTAAATGCTGTCCAAATGCTCATCTACAACAAACACTGGCTGCCGCCATTGGCATTGCTGCCGCTGCACACTGACACATAAATATTAGCTCTAGTACTATAGCCCGCGTACAGTTGCCGCTGGGCTATAGCATGATATATATATATAACAGGAGTAGATAATAGGGAAGGAGTGTGACTTCAATAAACAAGGGAAATTCGTCATTTACTAGCCTTATAATACCGACGATTTACTACACGTAACTCATCCAACTTGAGCTCAAATCGTACACAGTACATTCGCCTAGCATCG